TAATTGCAGTAGAATCCCTGGTCTTGGAAATACTGATCTAGAATGGAGAAGAAGTTGATCTTTGAGAGGGGAAATAGTTCATGAGAGTGGCAGGTGTAGGGATCATTTTGCAAGTGGTTGTGTGGTGAGTGAAAGATGAGTTCTTATGATCCTTGTCTTTGTCCTTTTTGAGAAGTGACTAAAAGTGGACAAATCATGGAAAAGTTAGAAGAAGCAGGAGTGAGGGAGGTTGTAGCAGGTTTCTGGCATGCCATGCCAATAGCACTGGCATGATTTAGGATGGATGAACCCAGTCTTTAGTACCTAAGAGGCAGAGTCTCACTGTGGAGTCAAACTGCCCACATTTCTAAGACAAACTTTGGTGAGGACAAGACAAAGTTGTAAGTGCCTTTTGGGTGTTCCTCTGTCCTCTGAAAGAAGCAGAGACATGCCAGACAGAAAAAAGCATGTTTGGGGCCACATATAGTTTTTCCAAGCTGCACCCAGGATCCAACTGTGTTGGGGGTTTTGCCTTTGGGATGTCAGTGTTAAATGACTTTATGCAGCATCACACATGTGGGAAAGGACAAACCTGATATTTGCATTTACTGAGATTTAAAAATTGGCAAGGTGGGAGAAGACTGAGACCTGAGGAGGCTAAAATGAAGGGAGGGTAAGGACAAACAGGATGAAATAAAGGATGGAGTCAAGGCTGAGGGGGAGGCAGGCAGAGTGCCAATATTTGCAAAGACACTTTTGCCATTTGTGAAAAGGCACCTGGGCACTCACCCCCAGTATTTCTTTCTGCTGACCCTTCCCAAGGTAATTCTCCATTGCTTGCTGAAAAGATTCCCAAGCTCAAACTCGGCGCTCGCCTGTTTCCATAGCCTGTTTTCGCGCATACCGTCTAGACTGCCTTGTAGTACTTTCTCGGCCTTGCTGTGACGCTTAGGTTGAGTGATAACATGACAGTGTATTGCAGAGATCTTGTTGTTCAGTTGTATTCTACCTTGAGGTATGAAAAGGGAAAGACTAGTTAGAAATTTTTAATTACTTTAGATTTACCCATTATATATTTGTTTTTTTCCCTATGATCGATGTGTCCTTGCCAAGAGATAAATTACCCAACATCTAATTATCTTTGGATTGGCAGTCTTCCCTCCTGATCAGTAGGGTAATTTTGCTGACATAACACAAAAATGTGTGAACACCCAGTCATCATGCTTGTGAACCAAAAAAGGATCCAAACTGGCAGCTCCATAGTGACTGGCTTCAGTCTCCCGGTCCCTTCTTGACCCTAGTACTCATTACTTCCAGAATGGCCTGTAGTGATTTGTATCTAGCCATTGTTCTCAAGTGGTTTTCTTGCTCAGCTTGCCTCCCTGGGTCCTCTCCATAATCTTTATTGCCTTGACACCGAACTCCCCATGAATCTCTTTGGCTCAGTTCCAGATACCATAATTTATATCCAGATTTCATAGTAGCCTAAATACAGACCAAAAATTTCCTTCTTTTTTTGGTGCAAGTAAAAGCTTAACTTAAAAAACTAAAATGTCTTTTAGTCAGGCTTGGTAGTATTTCTTTTCTTTTTAGATTCTCTGTCACTTGAGATGGAAGTAACTGCACATTATTAGATTGTCGATGTGGTATGGAATCAAGTGCAGGGGAGAAACCCTTAGTTGTGAACTAAGTGTTCACTGCTATGAACAGTAGAAATTCTTTAGGCCCTTGAAATCTTTCAGGCAGCATCTCTGACCAGACTCTGTTGGTCATGCAGAAGTCCAATCTTAATGTCTTAAAAATCTTTTAATTGGGCCCTCCCTGGTGGCGCAGTGGGTTAAAGCACTGCACTGAGAAGCTAAAGCCGCTTCCGCATGAGTTCGATTCCCGCCTGCCCCGGAGGTGACCACATGGCGCGGCAGACCTCTCCTGACCCGCCGGCTGCTCCCCTCAGCAGTGTACTTCGTGGATCTGACTGTTCTGCTCCCCACTCTCTCTGGTGAAGCCTCTCGCCGCCCCTGAGCCTCTGGCCTGTACCCCAGTTCTGTATGCACAAATAAAATCTTAAAAAAAAATCTTTTAATTGTTACTCTTGGGGCAAAGATCAGAAAAGGAGACTGTCTCCTGGAATAGGACTGCACTGGGTATTTCTGCCGGGAAATTCCACATTGCTGCTGCTGCGAGTGACAGAGGCACACTGGTTGAAAACCACAGATTCTGTTTAATATCCTTTAGCTTATTTCAGTGATGTTTCCAATTAGCTTCTCTTTAAAATCTCTCCATTCTGTCAGACCTCTGATCTATAAAGCATTTAAACACCTAATCCCACCCTATTTACCAAAGTCTGACACAGTATTATGTCTTCAGGTAATGACATAATTCGTTAGCATTTGTCTCACCAAAGCATGGTGACTATAGAAAGCTAGCATTTCCTTAGTCCTCACTAAAATCACAATCATGTATAATATCCCCTACTCTAGTTAATGGAAGACTATTTCTTGTTTGCATTTGCAGTCCTTTGTTGGGGTGAGGCAGAATGCACATATTAAACATTATGTGTATAACTTAGGATTACTATATATGCCTGTTTTCCCCACTCCTTTTTCATTGTGCCTTACTGTAGAAAGCACTGCATTTTGCTTTGAGTGATATTTGACAAAGCTTGGTTTCCCGCTGTCTCCTTCTCTTCCGCTACCCTGTCATATGGTGTGCTAGGTATCAGCTTAGGGTAACTCACGATACAGCTAAAAAAAGCAAACAGCTATTTTCTTTCTCTTTCTGGTTTGTATTTCCATCATCATAACTTTTCAACTGGGTAAAGATGTTGCCCAAAGGCCGGAGTAAGGACAGACCTGGAGAGTGGAGGTGGGGAGAGGAGCGTGGTTAGAGGTGGTAACTAGAGATGCTGCTTCAGAGGAACAGCTGACGCTCAGCCCCCACTCGCATCCCCATTTCGGAAACGCCTAATATCTGTAAACTGCCTGCTCTGGTTATAGGATAAAGACTCAGGAACTCTAATACTACTTGGGCTACCAAAACTTATTCATGGGGCAGTATTATGTATTGCAGTAGTAATAATGGCATGTTTTTCATTTTCCTCTGTTATTCCGGATTCTTAGCCTATTTATTAAGCTCATAGAACATGAATGGTAAAAATGTTTTTTTGAAAAGGGATCTTCATTTTCAATTTTTTCTTCCCACGTTAAGGCCACTTAAGTTTCTTAGGGAAACATTTTTGGAAATTTATATGAAATAGAAGATTGTTGTTCTTACTGAAAAAAAAAATATTCCTAATTGTTTCACCTATGGTGAATAATTGACTATCTTTTCTGTGGGGGTAGGCTGAATTCTTCCTTTATCCATACCTGATTCATTTTTTGTGTGTCTCTGCAACTTGAGTGTCCTCCATTGCAGGCAACAGTTACTAACTGCAATAACAGTGTTTACAACAGTTCTGTTTTTCATATCAGCACAAAGTCAAGGGGAAGAATTGAAAATAAATTATTTTATTCCTGCTTTCAGTATCTTTGGGCCACAGACTAGCTGAAAACTAGTCATATTTGGAAATAGTCACAACCAATTTTCATAAGTTACAATGGTGATGGTCCTACGTGTCTGTTTGCCTTTCTTTTCCCATTAGATTTGTTAGGTGGCCACATTCCTAGTTAGTACTTAAAATCTTCCTGTTGAGGTATTGGTGCTGGAAGACAAGGGAAAGTGCCGGCCAGATTGTGTAATTACATTTACAAGTTTCTGTGCATTCTCCTTTGTCTCTTCTGTATCTTTAGGCAAAATGGTGGCCCTTCCCACCAAACTCCTATTTTTACTCTTAGTAAAATATAAGTCACCGGCTTTACTCAATCATGGCATTATTAAAATTGTAAATTTTTAGTTTAAAGAAGGTTACGTTGTAAGATTTCACTTTCATCAAATAATTTTTTCTAAGATTGTTTCTCTGAATTGCCTCAATTTCTTATCTCCAGTCTAGCTTACTCTTTATAAGAGTATCTCCCAAAAGGAGGTATTTGCAAACCATATGAAAATAAACAACAGTAAAAGTACAAAAGTACAACCTCAGTAAAAAATTGGCATCTTGAGAATCTATTCTGCATTTCACCAAAAATAAACAGGTGGCCAGTAGACCCTTGGCAAGATGTTCTGTATTGCTTATCACTAGGAAAATGCAAATCAAAACCACACGAGTGAGGATGGCTGTTACCAAAAAAATTAAGAAATGAGTGTTGATGAAAATGGAGAAAAAGGAAAGCTTGTACCTGTTAGTAGAAGTGTAAATTGATGCAGCTACTTTGGAAAAGAGTGGGGGGATTTCCCATTTCTAGGTGTTTACCTGAAGAGTATGAAAACACTAACTCAAAAAAATACATACACCCTGAGTTCAGTGTAGCACTGTTCACAACAGCCAAGATATGTAGCAACCAAGTGTCTTGTAACAAATGAATGTGTTATAATACAGCATGACTTCTTGAAATTTTGATCACATGGATAGACATTCAGAGGACTATACTGTGAAAGAAGGGAAAATCTCTGATTTCATTTTTTGTGGACTATAAAGAAAAAAGCAATCAAAACGCTACAGAAACAAACCCTAAGACACTGACCACTAATTGATGATTACCAAAGAAGGTGGGGAGGGAACAGTTTAGTGGTAGATGGTGATTGGGCATTTGGCAGTGAATGTCATTAAAAGAGAACATTGCTAGATCTGATTTTAAACTAATGTTAATCAGTTTTTTAAAAGGCGGAGGGGATTATCTCCCAAAGATGGTGGACATTACTGGGCCAGAAACTTTTATCCAGTTTTAAGTGTTCTAAAATATTCATACATGTGCTTTTATATCCATACAGCCCTTCTGTCAAAGGTAAAGTCAACTCATAGTTATGAAATTTCCCAGCCTACTTAATTACTGCATCTATCAAACAAAAGTTAGATCTTAACTCTTCCAAAGAACTGATCCTGTGTTTTTGTGTATTGATCCTTTATATTTTTTGCCTCCTCACAGGAGACACCCGTACTTACAAGAATAGAAAAACAGAAGCGCAAAGAAGAGGAAGAAGAACGCCAAATTCTTCTCGCAGTGCAGAAGAAGGAGCAGGAACAGATGCTGAAGGAAGAAAGGAAACGAGAGCTGGAGGAAAAGGTCAAGGCAGTGGAAGGTATGTGGACTTTCTGATAACAGCGTGTGCCTGAGAGTAACCTCCTCGTAGTCAGAACTCAGCCTCTCATGTAACTGAGCTGTGCTGACGTGGTCAGGGTATCGTGCGTTGCTTTGTCTTGTTCATCATCCAGATCCCATCTCACTTTGCATCTGCGCAAGAGCACTTAGATTTGGTCCTTGTATTGCTCCTTTCCGTTTCTGCTTGTTACTCTTAACCTCTGCTGTGTCGTTCACATAGAATAGCAAAAAGTAATTTGATTTACTACTAACAAATAATTTTAAACACACAAAATATCCTTTAAATTGTCTTTGCATACTTTATTAGATGTGGTGCTATACACATTTTTATAATACCATTATAAATACCATTATAGAAGGAGCTTTTTCTTTCATATCTAGCATCGTTGAAAGGAACACTACCAGTCATACCTGGGTGTGTTGGGTAGTGGCTGTGTATGTAAGCAGGCCTAAGAAAAGCTTGCCCATTCTGTGCCAGAATACAATCCTGAACCAAAAAAGTCACTCCTGTCGTCTTCACATTACAAAGGTAGAAAGGCAGAGTAAATGTACATGGTAGAATTATAGCCCTGAGGTGCCTTTTCACCAGCCAACAATGGGGCTTTTTGAGCACTGGAATAAACAAAACAGACAAGACGCAGTAAATCGAAAAGCATCATATATGTTGCGGGTGCTTGTGTTCATGATGTGGTGTTTTTTGAAAGCACTGTTATCTTAAGAGGTTAATAGTACAACTTGGTATTCAAAAAAACGTGGTAAAATAGATGGAAGAATCAAGCTTTTTTGTTTCCTTTACAAACTGTACCAATAATTGATGAAGGAAAGGAGTTAGTTAATGAATGTAGCAGAAATAATAGGGATAAATTAACAACTAATGAAAGAATGGGTCTAGGCAAAGTGTTTCTTTCTTTTTAAAGATTTTATTTATGTATTCAAGACCTGGGTGAATGCAGGGGCGGTGAGGGGATTCACCACTGACAGTGGGGAGCAGAACAGACAGATCAACAAAGTACATTGCTGAGTGGAGCAGTGGGCGGGTCATGGAGCACCTCCAGAGCTGCGCATCGAACTCACACTGAAAGGCCACAGCTTGGCTTTGCTTCGCTTCACAGTGCAGTGCTCCAGTCCACTGCACCACCAGGGAGGGCCTGGCAAAGTAATTAAGGTTTTAGAAGATGATTAAAACATGTCCTAAAGTAAAGATTTTCTGAAAACACCCAAGATAGCTTGCATGCCATAAAGTGCTATTTCCCACTAAAACTATTACAAGAGCAGGGTGTTATCCGCCCTGCGTGCTGTAGTTTGCGGTTTGTAGTCCCCTTCCCTAAAGCAGCTGTTGTATGTAAAGAAGTAATGGCTTCCAGTTATATACCTGGCAAGCATTAAGTAAATAGTGCACAGATCATTTTTTATTTTTGGAACTCTGGTCAGTCGTCAGTAGCTGCTAAATAGATTAGATGAGAGACTGATGAGGAGCTTCATACTGAATCAGGCTAACGCTGATAAGCTGTAACATCACAAAACGGGACAACCAGATAGTACACCTCCTGATGCAAAGAAAAGGAAGTCGAATGCATCAAACCTATTTGTCTGAACACAGCCTCTAGTATTGCTACCAGTTTACATGGAATTCCTGAGGCGGGATACCTTGCCGTCATGATGAGATGCCACCTGCTAAGTACAAAATGTGGAAAATACTACACATGCGGCCCACTCTCTCCAGTTAAAGAATGGAGATTGGGTGGGGGGGTACTGTCAAACTCAGGTGGAGTTAAGACCCACGTCAACCAAAGATGAACTTTTTGGATTTGTTTTTTTTTTTCTTAACAATATTAGTTTTAAAGTTGGGGGCCAAAATTTTTTTTTTTTTAATTAAAGATTTATTCATTTGTGCATACAGAACTGGAGTACAGGCCAGAGCTCAGGGGTGGCGAGAGGCTTCACCAGAGACAGAGTGGGGAGCAGAACAGGCAGATCCACAAAGTACACTGCTGAGGGGAGCAGCGGGCGGGTCAGGAGAGGTCTGCCGCGCCATGTGGATCTTCTTCGGGGCAGGCGGGAATCGAACTCATGCGGAAGTGGCTTTAGCTTTAACCTGCTGTACCACCAGGGAGGGCCTAAACTGAAAAATTTTAAAACAGCATTGAAAAGTGGGAAAGTTTGCTCTGATACATGATATTAAATCTTCATGTTCTGAGATTGATACAGATGAGCTAAGTTCCTAGCATACCCAAGAAAATCAGCAAAAAGAATTTGATAGGAACGCTCACTATATACCATATGGGGGAAAAAAGGCTGTGGTTGGTGAGAGAATGGTCATGGCATAGAAAATAGGTAAGGCCCCATAAAGCAGAATGCCATCCTGGGGAAGGATGGGAGGGTCATGGCACCAGCGTCATTGCTCCTGGCGAGGGAAGAAATTAACATCTCTGCTTCTCAGAAGAATATGTTCCATACAGACTGAAAGCCACAACTCTTCTGAAGAAAATACAGGTGAATATCTTTCAGATAATCAGTGTTAACAAAATATCATTAAGCACCAAAACTTGAGAGGGGGAAGTTGTCTGTTAATTGCTTAAGGCTTACATATGTTAAAAATACCATAAAGCAAAGACACAAACCAAAAGGGGAAAGGTAATTTTAATATATACCAACAGACTTAGCTATCAGGTTATTATATAAAGTACTTCTCCAAATCCGTAAGAAATTCTACAGCCACGGGGAAAAAAGTGGAATGTCAGTGGGAAATTCACAGAAGACACTAAATGGCCAATAAGCAAGAGAGTGTTTTCCTTTAACCTGGAAAATACAAATGAAAACAAAGATTTTTTGTCATATCCATGAGTTTGGCAAAAACAGTGTTACACCAAAGTGCATGTGAGGTGACTCAGATCACAATGAAAAGAGTAGATGCAAACCTTTGGGAAATACCTTGACACTGCCTAATAAAGTTAATTCCTCTATCTGGTAGTTCTTGGAAAACTTTCATACATACACACAAGAAGATGTGTTAAAAGACCACTTTTTTTTTTACCTTTTTTTGAGGTAATGTTAGAATATGTTCATACGTTTTCAGATGTTTTACCACGCCACACCACCTAGACATACTCATAGTCCTCCACTATGGTCCCATCAGGCCTCCTCTCTGGTGATCCTTAGTCCCACATATGATTTCAGCTCTACACTCAATAATTTCTGGGTTTGTTTTGGTGTACTGGGGTACAGTCCAGAGGTAACAGGAAGTGGAACAGGGTGAGAGGCTTCACCAGAGAAAGAGTGGGGAGCAGAACAGGCAGGTCAGGCAAGGTCTGCTGCACCCTGTGGGTAGGCTCCCAGGCCAGGGATCAAACTCAGGCTAGCATGGTGATAGTGCTTAAACCCCTCAAACCAGTAAGCTCCTAGTTTACTTTTGTTCCTTTTTGGTGTTTCTTTGTAGTCCACGTGAGTAGGTTGCCTAGTATTTGTGTTTCTCCTCACTGACTTTGCTTCGCATAATCTCACACAGTTTCACACAGGTTATTGCGGTAGCAGCACTCCCCCTCTCTCTATAGTTGAGGCCTGTGTCCATTGCGTGTCTCTGCCACATTTTTAGCCACTCACCTGCCCTTGGGGCACTTAAGATCGTTTCCATAGCTTTTACTACAAATAGTGCTGCAGTGAACGTGGGCGTGCATCTGTCCCTTTAAATTAGTGCTTTTGCATTCTTTGACTATATACCAAAGAGTAGGGTTGCTGGGTCCTAGGGTACATCCATTTTTAATATTTTGAGGAACCTCCATACTATTTTCTGTAGGAATCAGACCAGCGTACATTCCCACCAGCAGTATGTAAGATACAAGGGTTGCGTTTTCTCCATGTCCTTACTAAATCTGAGTTTTTTTGGTCCATTCTCAACATATGAGAAGTAGTAGCTCATTGTTACATGGATTTTTGTTTCCTGGTAAGTGATGACAAGCATTTTTTCATGTGACTGCGACTATCTGTGTGGTGTCTTGGAAGTGTCGACTGAACTCCTGCCCGTTTTTGATAGGGCAGCTTTCCCTTCGTTGTGTCGTGAGAGTTGTTGGTAGACCTTGTGGGTTAGCCCCTTGTCGGGTGTATGGTGCGCACATACTTTCTCCCATTTCATAGGGTATCTCTTCACTTTTTAATAGTTTTTGCTGTGCAGAAGCTTTTCAGTTTCATGTAGTCCCGTTTGGTTTTTTGCCTTTTTTCCTTGTCATTTGAATCTAACCCCCAAAACACTCCTGAAGCCAGTGTCACAGTATGTTTTGCCTGTGTTTTCTTCTGTGTATTTTAAGAGTACCAGGTTTTACAGCCAACAGAAAAAAACAGTCATGACATACTTTACAAAATGAAAAAAAGTTGCAGTCAACTAGAAAATGGAATATGGAGCAGCCAAATATTGTACTTGTTATAAAGCAAAATTGTTAAGATTGGACAGTTTAGTAGTTACATAGCTATTTTTTTAGTTATTTACACTTTAAGCTTGAAACCATTCACTTTTAAAAGAAAAACTATTGAGTTGATGATAGCAAAGCTCCTGTAATTTATTACAGCATACTAGGTACTTATAAGTAAAAACTTGACCCAAGTCAGTGGAACTTGCCAGGGAGAACACTGTTTTCAGAGTCACATCACGCTCCTAGCTAAGCTGGTAGATGTGGAGTCTGTCCCTGGGGGACAAACTAGAGGACCTGCCCTGCTCTCTTTCTTCATCTCGCTGGCTTACAGTGCTCCTCATCTCACTCGTTCCCTGATGGCTCAGGCCAGCAGTAGAATGCCAAGTGTGTTTCTCATCACCTTGACTGTGAGCCAGAAAAAAATTATCCCTTGCTCCCAGCCCCTGCCAGTTCCAGTTGGCATCTTTCATTTCTTTCCAGCCAGACTTCTTACTGCCGCTGGCTGGGTAGGGACCACTGCCAGTGGCGGGGTGTGGAGGAAGGCAGAGACAAACGGTTGTGCACGGAGACGTTGGCAAATTCAAAACAGCATGTATGTGCTTGTAAAGTCCTGTACGTGCTTGTTTTGAGAGTCTGCATGTATTCTTTTTTAAAAGAAAGATAAAAAAGTCCTCAGGTCATTGAAGAAAAATAACCCCTCCATCTTCTATTTTTTCCCTTCCACGTTTGTGTTCCTTCTACATCGCCAGCCATTGCCTTCTGCAGCCCTCATTCCCGAACTTGAATGCAGTATGACTTAAGGAAAGGTGTCTGCTCATTTCTGTTTTTCATAAAGAATCTGTAGAAACATCCTAGTAACTAAAAGAAGATGGCAAAGGAAGCAAAAATAGTTTCATGACACTATTCTATTTATAGTTGTTCGTTTTCTCAAAATTACAAAGAACATAGAATCATCTAGAGAATACTTAACTCACTTGTGCACTAACACTTTCTGTTCCTTGTAGATCGAGCCAAAAGGAGAAAGCTCAGGGAAGAAAGGGCATGGCTGCTGGCTCAAGGGAAAGAGCTCCCCCCAGAACTTTCCCATCTGGACCCTAACTCCCCGATGAGGGAAGAAAAAAAGACTAAGGACCTGTAAGTATCTAGTGAACCAGATCGTAGCAGCCATTATCTTCTCAAACACTCAGACCTTGTTCTAAGGCACTTTCTCCGGAGCCTCACCACAGCCCTGCTTGGCTGGCAGTGGTCGATGCTCCCAAGCTCCTTGTTCTCTCTATGCTTACTTGGTATTCTTTAGATCACAAACCACACACCGAGTAAAGTAAAGCCTAAGTTCCTGTTCATCTTGGTCAATACCAACATTTTATAGATATGGGAATTTTTTTTTTTTTTTTTTGCTAAAAGATGTTAATCTTTGAGTTCTTATTCTCAGGTCCATTATCAGTACATCACTTTTTTAAATAAAAATTTTCTTTTTTATTATAATAGTTTATTTTTACATCATTTTGTGCCTTTTCCATCTCAGCTGCAATCCCTATGGACTTCCCATCACCAATTCACCCATGTGCCATCACCATAGTCCTGTGCATCCCTCCCCCCATTTTTTTGATCCCATTCCCCACTCCACCCCCATAAAATGTCTCTGGTGTATAGCTGTTCATTATTTGAATAAAGATTATTTTAAATTTTGATGCAGTCAGCTATGTCTCTGTGATTGAATTAAAAGATTTAGAAGAGAAAGTGGTCAAAGTTACTCTTCTTATTTTCTGATTCACAGCTTTGAGTTGGATGATGATTTCACTGCCATGTATAAAGGTCAGTTCGTTTCCAACTGTTGTATTTCTCATAGAATTACTCCCGGAGTGTAATGAAGCTCTCTGTGCCTCTCAGTTCTAGATGTGGTGAAGGCTCATAAGGATTCATGGCCTTTTTTGGAACCAGTGGATGAATCTTATGCCCCTAACTATTACCAGATTATTAAGGTAGAGATTTACTTTGCACTTCCATGCTAAGTCATCTGTGTCTTTTTAAATTTTTTTAGTTAAAGTTCATCTATCACTCCTTAGGAGTCAGGGCACTGGAGACCTGTTAGAAACTCCTAATGGCATGATTCCTGTGCCTCATATTACATGCTTTTGCTCCCATCTATTATAACTGTGTGCTTCCTTTTTTAGGTCCCCATGGATATTTCAAGCATGGAGAAGAAACTGAACAATGGCTTATACTGCACTAAGGAGGAATTTGTAAATGACATGAAGACTATATTCAGGAATTGTCGGAAATACAACGGGGACAGTAGTGGTAAGTGGGGGTTCGCTCTGGATGCACATGTCACTGTGCCTTTGGCGCCAGGAGGAGAGTCTGGGAAACACGCAGAGAGCTCAGATGATCTCATCAACCTAAGAGACCATCTGCAGCTAGACTGTGCTGTCTGACATAGGCAGTTAACAACAGTCAAGACTGATCCTGAATGGAGCTGAAGTTCACAGAGTTAAGTCTCTTGCAGTGCACACAGTTCCATAAGAGGATGTGGAATCATTCATTCCGTAGCTCAAAGTGCTGTAGTCTTTTCCCTAGATAGTTTCAGTGATTGCATTTAATATTTTTTAATTTAACCTTAAAGAATTAAATGCTTAGGACTGGTTTGGGTTAATAATCTTAGACTCACTGTATCAGCCATTCAATCCAAAGCCCTTAAGGCAGAAACCATATGTGGTTTCATCTTGTATCCCTGGCTCATAATGTTTGAGTTGAATTAAATTTAGAGTTTGCCCCAGTCACTTGTTTTATTGCTTCATTAGTAGAATTGTCTTTTGTGGCCTATAAAAGCTACACCTAGAGGTCAATCCTTTTTTTCTTACTGTAGAATACACCAAGATGTCTGATAATTTAGAGAGGTGTTTCCATCGGGCAATGATGAAGCATTTTCCTGGTGAAGATGGCGACACTGATGAAGAATTTTGGGTCAGAGAAGATGAGAAGCGAGAAAAGAGACGGAGCCGTGCAGGGCGAAGTGGTGGAAGTCACGTGTGCACCCGCTCTAGGGACTCTGAGGGGCCTGGCAGGAAGCAGCAGCCAGTGGAGAATGGGGGGAAGTCCCTGCCGCCTGCACGCCGAGCCTCTGGGGGTGATCAGAGCAGCAGCGCTACGCAGCTGCCCCGGGAGCTGGGCACCTCCAGTGGCCGGGGCTTCTCCCGCCCCCCACATTACGGAGGCGTGCCCAGCCGGGCACCCCTCCTAAACCAGATGGTAAGGGGTGGCCTCAATGCCGCGTGGCTCCTATTGGCTCCGCTTCTCAACTCGTTTTTCTGTGCGTGAATGATTTCTTCTCCCCTCATCTGTCCTTCCTTTACTCTTTATTCCTTCTTTCTCCTAATCATTTGAATCTCCATCTCAGTGTGGGCAAAAGTTGGGGTGAAACAGTTGCTCCACACCTAAAGCAGAGCGTCTTGTTTGCGGGAGGCACACCCTGGCTATGGTATTGCAGTTTCATGTGGGGGCAGTCGAGGGGAATAGTCCCGAACGCACTCAGAGAGGGTGAAACAGTGGGAAGACGGGAAGCAGCAGCTTGGTCTCCTCGGAGAGGCGCCGGCATCCTGGCAGGGGTTTCCTCAGCCCAGCCGCAGGGCTGGCCATCCCTGCTGCTTGGCCACTCTGCCCGGAGTCCTTAGTGGCTTTTCAGCAGTGTGCTCACCTTCAGGGAAAGGCCTCATTTCCTGCCTAATGTCTTCGCTCACTCACTCTCTCCGCCTCTAGAGGCCAGCAGTCCCAGGAACGTTTGGTCCTCTTCGGGGGTCAGATCCTGCCAGCTTACACGTCTCCTGTAGGGTCCCCGAGCCACACCCGGGAGAGCCTGCGCAGCAGCATCAACCTTTTGCCATGCAGGTAAGCAGCCTGCTCAGACTGTGCAGCTGCAGGAGTCTCGGGGTTCAGAGAGTTGCTTGCTTCCCAGCTTAACTTTAAGTCATCACCTCCTGTTCTGCAAAACCTGTTACTCTAGATTATGTGCCTTACGAGAGATGTTAGTTGAGTCTGATGAGCCCTGTTGTCTTGCTTTCTTGTTGCCAGCCTCCCGTTGGGGTGAACAGCCACCGAGGGCCCAGGCTAGGTACCCCTGAAGAGAAGCAAGTGTGTGGGGGTCTGACGCACCTTCCGAACATGGGGTCGCATCCTGGATCTTTGCAGCTTGCGCAGATGAGTGGCCCTACTGTGGATGGAAATATGTTTTCTCCAACTCAATTCCAACCAGGATTTATGCCTTCCAGGCATGGTGGGGCTCCACCCCGACCTCCCGACTTTCCTGAAACCTCAGAAATTCCTCCCAGCCATATGTACCGTTCATACAAGTACCTGAATCGAGTACACTCTGCTGTCTGGAATGGGAACCATGGTGCTACAAACCCAGGATCCTTGGGGCCAGATGATAAGACCCCAATGGGGCCAGGACCCTCTCACCAGCCTCGTACTCTCGGTCCTGTGATGGACTCCCGAGTGATGAGACCGCCTCTCCCCCCAAACCAGTGGACTGAACAATCAAGCTTTCTACCTCATGGAGTTCCTTCTTCAGGGTACATGCGACCCCCCTGTAAATCTGGTGGACACCGGCTCCAGCCACCTCCAGCCCCAGCACCAGGTTCTCTGTTTGGAGCCGCCCCCCAGGCTCTGCGGGGGGTTCAAGGCGGGGACTCCATGATGGACAGCCCAGAGATGATCGCCATGCAGCAGCTTTCCTCCCGTGTCTGCCCGCCTGGTGTGCCTTACCACCCCCGACAGCTGACTCCCCCCCACCTACCTGGCCCTTTTCCACAGGTGGCTCACTCGCCATCTGTAAGTGTGTCAGCCCCCAATCCTGTCTTGGGGAACCCTGGGCGGACGCAGGATAGCAGTGAAACACGAGATCCTGAGAGTGACCAAGGTAACTTACACTGTCACCCTTACCTGCCTTTGGCTCTTTAAGTTGTTGACTTATGAGTAACCTTTATACAAGCTGTGAAAGCCACACAAACTGGTTTCCAGCCTTTTTTTTTTTT